TTGTAATGAATGATATCATTCACTAGGAAATCTATTCATCGAATTCGGGTCTCGTTATGAAAATAAAAAAATTCAACGATAATCCCGAATACTTTTCGAATATGACTATAAGAAGGCACTATATTTTTTAATTTATTCAAATCTACTCGAATTTTCTTAATTCCGAAGTAAAAAATATTTTTTATGTCTATCATAATACACCATCATGTCTTTATTTTTTTACGCAACTCGCTCACTATTAGAATTTTCGAATAATTTAAAATTAGGTAAACATCTTCGTGTTTTCAAGGTGGCCTTGCGATGTTCTCTCTTGTTTTGATCTCTGTTGGAACTTTTCCAAAGTATGATAATAAGCTCTGAGATGTGACCCTGTAAGTCTGCTATCATTGACCTATTAAAAGCGGTAAATTTTGTAAGACCATCTAAAGTTCAAAGCACGTGGCAGCCAAAGTTAGATTGATCAATCGTCTTGACATAATTTTGATAGGTGCAAATAACGGTTAAATAAAATAGCACGAATATTGAACGTTGTTGGGGACTTTCCATAAGCGCGTAAAGTGTTTAAAAAAGTAAAATGAATCTGCGAAAAAATATAAAGCAAGGGATATTTGAAAGTGTGGACAAGATAAACGCCTTGGGCCCTTGAAGACTTCCCTTCATGATAAATGCTGATCAGTTGAGGAAACATTTAACGTGATAAAGCTTGAAAATTTACGCGAAGTCCTTGATTATGGGAATTATTATAATCAATTGTAATTTATGATTACAATGTTCTACGTTTATCGTAATTATTTTAAATCTTCTGCAACGATATTACTAAAATTTCTAGTCGGAAGTAGCCGGCTACTCTGAGGAGCTGATCTAATGCACATGACATAAGAACTTGGATCATGTCTTATGCCCATGTCTTATCCAGCTTACGTCATCGTAGAGCCGATTAGCGATTTGATGGCATCAAACCCACAATTCTGCGGAAAAAATTGTATTTCTTATTCAAGGGATTCCAAAAGTTTAATTAAGGCCATCCATTGAACAAATTATTTTGCACATAAAAGTCCCATGAACTTTAACATTTGTTCAAAAAATCGATCGCTGCGGCGACTTCTGTACAGATGGGATTACAAAAGAACGAGCAGGTGGCTCAAATAAATTATTTATTTCTTTTGGGAACTACAATTCACTTGATGCATGTCATTGTTTGACATTGTTATCATTTTATATTATTATGTAAGTTGAAAATAATAAAGGCGTGTGGATGAGTGCTATGGTTGTTCAATTTTCAGTCCGGATTTTGGTTCTGGTGTCCCCGATTCCAGTTTCAATTCCAGTTTCCGTTGCAAAGAACTACGTAAAAAGTCAATGAACACAATGAAAGTTTCGTTTATTCAATAAGAAAATATACTAAAATTTTATAGTTGAACGATGAGTCCAAATTCGTCATTTTTAGGTAAAAAATTGTTTTGTATATCGTAATTTTTGTGCAACCTATACTTGTTTTTGATATGTTCTTGCTATGTTTTTTGTCGATATGTTAGTGCTCACTATGTTTACGTTATGTTCCGAGTTACGTTGTTAACGTTGTTAGGCCCACATAGTGCCTTATTTTCTCTTTTTATTCTTCTTTTAGGTCCCAGAGGCGTGAAAAAGTTCACTTAAAGTGATTTAATTGCTCTAATTGGTATAATCAGCGACTGAAATTGTTCTTTACGATTTTTATTGGGTTTAAGTTTAAGCCTATGATAAAATACGCAGACGATGGATCTTTTCAAAAGCCAATTTTGAATAATAGGCCTTGTTTAGCCTTTTTCTTCGCGGACTTGACCGTTTTTTAGGTCATCTGGAAACCCTGCATTATGTACCACTACTTTCTGTAGAAATACATTTCGTGGTACGCATACTGTATGTATCATTTCGGAGGCAACGTGTTAACTGATTACTTAGCGACGTCGCAAAACAGTTCAAACGATCATCTAAAATTCTAAATGATTGAGCAACATGGATCCCAGCCATTAAAATTTTACTACAAGAGTACGTTCAGTTGTAAGTATCATAGCTATTCAATATTTACTCATATTTATAACGAGGTTACGGGTCAAAAAACGGATTGCAACTTTGTCACGGTCGGGCTTCGAATTAATTCACCTCGTAAACCCGATACTTCGTTTGCTCATGCAGAGAAAACTCGAAAGTTGCTGCTATACATCATGTTATTTCAGCGTACTTAACGAAGCACTTAAACTAATGACATATCAAATAAACTTCTTGTCTTCCGAATAAAACTTGTCGAAAATTTTTCGGCGCGGACGCAATTATTCCCAGGAGTGCTGCTCTTAGTGCCGGGCGTTTCCCCAGAAGAGCCATCGAGCCGATAGCCTCTTTCTTATGTATTCCTACATAGCGCCCCAAAAAACTGACCAAAAATAGCAGTTAAATTAGGCTTGGAAACAAAAGTTAGCGAATGCATACAAAACTCCCGCTTCAGAGTACTCGACATTAATGCATTCTGAAACTTTTCTTGTCCCGATCAATTGGAGTCTTGAAGTTAGCCCTGAAAACATGAATAAGTAAGTATAGCCGTGGCGAGAAGCTGAATTGCACGTGAATGGAACAGAGTCGCTAGTTTTCATTATATCGTTCGTGTGCTGAAGTGTGTCAGAATGTGGCCTTAAGATAACGGTGAACATATTTCTCAGTTCAAGCGCAGACAGGGTGAAGTTCACATCGCGTATCCAGTTTACTCCATGTCGGCAAGCGGATATGAACTGAGATTCGAGCGGCTAGCATTATTCCATTCAACTTGTTCAAGAAGCTCAATAATTTCTTTATTTTTTGAGGCTAATTAGGCAGGTATATTGATTTAATTAAAAAAATAACATTTTAAGGTTACGACGCCCCAATATAATGCTCAGTCAGAACAGTTTCCTCATTGTGCTAATAAATCAATGAAAAAAATACAGAATCAACAATGAAACATATGGATAATCCATTGTAGTTTTAGGCTAAACTTATTAATTATTATTAGCATCTAGTATTAATTTAGAGAATACCTGCAGTTAAAATTTCATGGTCGTGAAATTTTAACCCTATTAATTGAAGCTGTAATGCCAGTTTAGGTACAGTTCAGAGAAGATTCTCAATAATTGCCATAATCCACCGACCGGTCGTATATCCAGCACAAAATTTATGACTTAATGTTATTCTCGCATTTAGGTGAAGAAACATCACATCGACCACTAGTAGTCGAAGCCGATAATTTGTTGTCACTCAGAGCATGGAATGGATGAAAGGGTTAAGCGGAGCATGGTATGGATAAGAGGGTTAAGCGGAGCATGGTATGGATAAGAGGGTTAAGCGGAGCATGGTATGGATAAGAGGGTTAATCATTACGTGGTCATATCGGACGCCTGTTTTCTGCATGTACTAGCATGAGACATTATGGTAACGTTGAACTGATGATTATTGTGCCGCATAAGGAACACGCCCTATACGCTCGTGTTTTTGAATAAAGAAAATTCTGACATACGTGCGAATTTCGGAGGTAGCTCGGTCCGTTATATAGATTATTCTAAAGCCTATGCAAAAGAGATGTCTGTATTTTGATATGGTGGGACTATCGGGCAGCATTCTGAAATGTTGATGAGCTTCAGAAGGGCGCCGACGTCGGCATAAACAGAACGCCTCAAAAGGAGGCCGCGGAGGCCTATTGTGGCGAGGCTTGGCCGATATTGGCCTGGGCCAGCGGATGCCGCCACTAATATCCGATGCCTGATATTTCATGTGATATAAAGATATTGTTTAGATGTACGTGTAGTGTTCTATTACGTAAGGTACGATTGCACTTAGGAATTTAAATGAAAACGAAAATTATTCGAGTCTCAAGTTTATTCATTCATTAAGGTGCTACATTTTTTATAATATAAAGAACTTTCAAAAATTATTAAATTCAGTGAAATTTCGCTGAAACAAACAGATCTCCGATATCTGCTTGTGTCAAGAGAACTATTAAAAAAATACACGATTCATATACTCAGAAAACCCAAGTCCCGAGTATTCAGCGATAAAGCATTAGTTTGGGCTGAGTTACTTCGAATCGATTGAGTTCAATGGAACTAGAAATTTCCTTGCAGTACAAAAATTTAACCATATAAATGAAAGCATAATGGAACCAGATTTGCGCAAGTGATAAAACCCGAAAATTTGGTTTTTATGAAATGTTATGCATTATCAAGCAAAGACTCCAGTACTCGGTCGATAGTACGTGAACCTGCATATTTTTGGCAGCTCCATTAGACTTGGATGAGACGAAATCTTTCCGAAGCGCTCATTTGCATCCGACCCCCAAATTGAAGAAGATTGCCGCGACAAAGCCTTGATATTGCTTCTCTGTAGGCACCAAGCCCAGCCTTGATATTGCTTCTCTGTAGGCACCAAGCCCAGCCTTGATATTGCTTCTCTATACACTAATCCCAGCCTTGACATTGCGTGGCAAGGAACTGAGGGCACCAAGCCCAGCCATGATATTGCGTGGCAAGGAGCTGAGGGCACCAAGCCCAGCCTTGATATTGCCTGGCTAGGAGCTGAAGGCGCCAAGCCCAGCCTTGATATTGCCTGGCTAGGAGCTGAGGGCGCCAGGCCCAGCCTTGATATTGCGTGGCAGATATCTGGGTACTTCAAGCCCATTCATAGTCATTGAAATCTAATGCTAATTCAAATCTAAGATGTTGGGCATTTCATATTTCTTGTGATATCAATATATGCCTAGTAATATGTAAAGTTGGTATCAAGTTATCAACCAAAATGACAAGAGAAATTCAACTAATAATAACGTATATTAAACATATAAGTGTGCCAGGAGGAGAATTTCACTCATGAGTCTCCAATCTGATTAGATTTCTCAAATATATAGACGCAAATTAAGCACTTTTCCAGAATATCTGAAAATAATCTGATTATTACGTTAGCAATAAAATAATTTTTAACTAAAGAGATTTTTTACTTACCTTTAATGAAGTCGACAGCTTGTTCTAAGCCATAGGTTTCTTTATCACAGTCATCGAAGATGCGGGCCCCCACTTTCATGCCTCGGTCCAAGACGCCGTTCCGGGGATCATTAATGTAGTCCAGAGTGAAGAGCATCGCCTCCAGAGCTTGTATGCCGCCCTGGGGCATCACTGGTCCACATATCATGTCCTCCTGTCGCTCATGGACCATCATGAGGCCACCCAACATCGTATCGCCGTCCATCTCCACGAAATAATTTTGCGGCCAATTTTCATGAGGATCTGCTGTTCTTGCAGCTATCCTATCGTATACTTTCGAATTGGTGTCGGCAGAAGGTGAAAGAGAATTGGTGATAATTAAAGATTGATTTTGATACAAATATGAATGGGAAATTAGTTTTGAGTTGTGAGCAAAGTCATTTTCGAAAACATTTGAGTTGTAGGTTAATTCTGACGTAGGCTGAACAAGATGCATTTTCTTGGGGCTAGCTTTTCCAATTGGGCTTTGGGAAGACTTTTCTACTCTGAACTTGCTTATTTCATCTTGTTTTGGACGCAGTCGGTCTTGTGCAACAAAATTATAAATTTTGTTGCTCTCTGATGCGGAAACTTCCCTCATTATATTTTGATGAAGACCTCTAGAGAACGCAAAGCTCACATTATCATTTGTAGATTGTTCAGAATATTCTTCTTCGGAAGTCTTCAAGGGAATGTGAACAGATTCATCGTTGTTCTCATAATAAATGCCATCGAGATTCGTGATCAAATTTTTCAACGTCTTATTTTGGCCGAGCGAGGAAGAAATGTTCTGTATTCGCTGTTCATCATTTCCAACAGGGACATCATTTTTTTCTTCACTGAAAACTGAATCGCGATTTCCCATCTTATGCTTAGCGTGACGAATTTCCTCCCTTGCATTGGAATTTCTCAAGGAATCATCTTCAAAATGTCTAGAATATTTTATTGTACCTTCCGAAGGCTTTATAGTGACATCTATCAAATCATAATTTTTACTTTTTCCCTTTGTTTTATACTTGAAACCAGAGTTGATTGGAATCTTTTCTTTGAAGTATGCTTGAGTATCTGAGAAAGAGCCTGTTGTAGGGACTGAACGATTAATCAAAAGTTCTGATGATATTAAAGTTTCATTCTTAATAGATGGCTTTCTGTCTCCTTCAGTTTTGATTTTATTGTCATTTTCTTTGCTTTTTTTCTTGCCTTTTTGCCCATCAATAGTACCTCCTGAAACGATTGGCGCATCCTCTGCATTTTGCGCCGTTTGAGCTTTGTTATCTTTACCTTCATTCCAAGTCAGAAGTCTTTTTTTCTTCGTCCTTTGATTGAATCTTCTTTTCGAAGAATTTTTATTCCTGTGTCTAGTTTTTAGTGAACGTCTTCCATCAAATTTGAGGGACGACTGATGTAAGTTTTCTGAAAGAGTTTTTAGTGATAGTTTTTGCTGGACTCCGTCAACCTTATTCGCCGCGGTGTCACCGGCAGTCGTGGATTCGACGGCTTCTCCGTCGTAACTAAACTGCTTGCTGTCGGCCTTGTTATTAACGACAAATCTAACACTTTCTGCTTGCCGTGGATGTTCTTTTCTTTTATCTAAACTTTTTCTATATTTGTTAGATGGTTCATATGGTGTTGGGTTAGCGTCAAACATAAAATCACTCGACTTGTGCGATTGATGGTCATTGTCATCTTTCGTATTCATGAGCAGACCGATCTCTACATTTTTTTCTAAGCGTTTTGAATGCCTCATAGGATGCCTGAGATGATTCCTTGCAATCATTTCCCCGTTCAATGGCGATCTGTGCATTGTTTCGAATGTCGAATCATTTTCTAGAGCAGTCGCTCCTCTAAAGAAAATATCTTCGGAAATCCAATTATTTCCAGATGTATCACTCGTCAGTACTTCGTGCGAGTTGTTCACTCGACTGCCCGCTTGTTGAACAGAAATCTTTCTTACATGCAGATCAGTGCTCGTAATGTTGGAAGATATGATCGTGGCAATGTTAAGTACTACGCATGAGAGTAGAAAAACGTTGTACCGAACGAACATTGCATCGAAACTTTACCGATAATCTCACATAACACATTCACTACTTCGTCACGAAACCATAGGCACTGACAGAAATTATGCGCTGATGTTCGATGCGCTTATGGTCTTAATATTCATCACTTAAACTTTAAGGTTTCTATTTCAGTATTAAAGAATTAAAACTTGATTTAATTGAAATACTTTTTTTGCTTTATTCGCGTAAAATAATCGCATTCTAACAGTCATTTTCACTTCTGACGAGCTTCAAGTTCTATCCTGGACTCCAACTCAAATTAACGATTTATCAAACACACTTCACGTCACCCCAGAAATGTAAGCAAAACCCATTTTCTCAATAATTATCAGAGCATTTGAGACTTAAAGTGTAGAAACGCGTCTCCGGAATACAATCCATAATTTCAATTCCTGATTTCATCTGCAACACATTTCCTGGTAATACAGAATGTGGCGTTTAAAGCAGAAATTTTAATATCAATAGCAAACCACGAACATACAGATTTTTTAAACTAGAAAATTAATCTTTTCACATGATTTTCAATCCATATATTGCTAGTATATGAAATTACATTCCGATTCGAATGTAAACTGTGGATGAATTTTTTCAACTTGACTGAGGCATGAAAATTTATTATTATAAAAAACATTTCTAGCTTTGAAGTTACGATAGCGGAAACTAGTAACTGGACAGACGGTCCTGATAACACATAATTATTGTTACCTGGCACAACGTATGGGTTGTTAACTCAAGCAATGTAAATATTGTTATCTAATGCAACACAAGTATTGTTATCCAATGCAACATAAATTTTGTTATGTTAGTATAGAACACAAAATATAAACAAAAATAAATACAACATTACGACGCAAAATTAAACGAACGAAATTAGATAAATGTTTAGACTTTGAAGATACATTGAATGGGATGAATGATAATAAACATTTTAGGGCTTTTTTCCATCATCATTAAAAGCTAAGTTAATGAAAATAGTTGAGAATTTCTAAATACACAGCGCCAATTAGGTGAAAAAAACAGTAAAAATTTCTAAATGATGGCTTCCAGAATGTGCAATATGTTTCCTTCAGAACTATGAGGCATCGTAACATTCGGAAACTGATCGAGAATCGATCAAACTAAAAATTTAAAATTTTGAAATTGAATGATCACAACGAAGCCATACTGCAGGAAGCCTGCAAGCTGCTCCTCTCACTTCACATATTTTACCCTCGGTTTTGTAGGAATTTCTCTTCCTACATTTTTTGTCCGTCGAACTTCTCTTGAAGAAGTTTGACCGCAGGCCGAGCTGAAGTATGACCTGCAGCAGTCCAGCAAAAAAAATTCAGTGGTAGTTAGCAAAGAATTTCTCAGATCTGGGGTTGTTTAAATTTTTATGAACATTAATACTTCTTAGGTGAAAATTAATTTGAAAGTAACTTTAGGAAAAATGATACGGCAGCAAACAGTTTTTTTGGCGTCTCCAGTCCAACTAAAAATATATAATGTACTTAGAATATGAGTGGGATTCACAACCTAATGGCCTACTACAGATTACGAATCTTGATTAAGCAATCCTCTACTGCTACTTATCAACCTCGAGTATTTATTCAACTACTGCCACACATGCCACTCCAGAATTTGCTCCTCAACTGCCACTCATGAACCTCGAGTATTTGCTCCTCAACTGCCACTCATGAACCTCGAGTATTTGACCAACTACTGCCCCCCATTAACCTCGAGTATTTGCTCCTCTACTGCCACTCATTAACCTCGAATATTAAATCAACCGCTGCTCCAGCACTGCACGCACGAACGGTCCATGCGTATGCTTCAAGACTGGAGGTCTTCCATTGACTGAAGTAAAACTGCTCATACCAGAAACTTTGTCTTCTGCGAGGGCGAGCGCAGGAATCCAATATTTCTAGAAATGAAATTCCTTTGGAATTAATCGGTGAGTTTTCGTATAAAACACGTTTGATTTGAAAGGATTTGAATGCACGATTTTCGTTCTGTTTTCTTTATAAAATCGGTTACTGGAAACGAAACAATATGCAAAGAGAAAAATTGGTTACATAAAATTTGTATTGCATATAAGGTATGACCAAGAAGTAAAATCATTTATTTCGAACATGGAACACGATAAAAGTCATGTATACATGGCCACACGGATCTTCAGAATTAAAATATACGTACCAAACATTTCGTTCTGTTCACTTCAGAGCCAACACCAAAACTGAAACTCTAGATGCTTGTAAAACTGAAATAAAGTAAAATGTCGGCAACACACATGCTTCATGCGAACGAAATATACAATAAAATTGCATTTTTTAACCAGGAATTTAACACCGAGTGTGTTTCTACGCATGCTTTCCGGCCACGTTGACTTGCGCAAAACTATACAATAAAATATTGTTCAATTTACGATGCAATATTTTTTTTAAATTAGATAAGTGAGAAGAAAAACATGATAGAAATTATAAGTAATATAATCCTATTACATTTTATGATATAAACATAATTGTGAGCCAGCAGCAATTCCGTAATTTTTTATGCAAAAGTTAGTTTTTGGGCGACCTGATGGCCCTGGGTGACTTGATGGCGCGAAACGCTGTCACAAGCAATTCTTAAAATGTGTTTAAAGTCACAAGATTTTCCAATAGTTTCATATCAAAACGAAAGGATTTATTACGTTTATAAATAAGCTTCTTAAGCTGCAGTTAGGTGAGATTGGCTACTCGTCTGCGTGGAGCGACAATAGAGTTCTTATGTAAGGTGACAACATTGATATACCATTCTTCCATTGATATTTCCTCATTAATATCTTCCTTGTTGAAAGCTAATCTCCTTCATTGCAATATGTTCATAAACATTTTCTTGTTCGCCTTCCCTGTTTATCAAGTCACGCCCTTGGTGACGTCAAATAGCGAAGCTATATAAGCTCTGTCTCGAGCGATTAGCTTCAGTCTTGGGCGAGGACCGTATTAGGTATACCACATTGCTCCTGTCCATGTCAAACAGGACAGTAACGCTAACTCAACGTCTGAGTGGAGAACGCCCAGCGGATAAACTCTAAACTTGTTCTTATTTCAACTTGACGCCGAGGACATCAATGTTAAACTTAGATTATCCTAAACTGTAAGCCGAACTATAATCCTAAAGTATATTCTATAATCGTCTACGCTGT